GCCCAGCAGTGGCCAATGTCTGTCAAAGCCACATGGAAACATCATTTCTCTCTAAGTATCTACAATTTTAAGTACTAAATTAACTACCCATGTTCTTTAAAAGAAGCATTATGGTTTATAGAAATTAGCTACATGAAGGGCTGGGTTACAATGAAGTGCAATAGTGTTGAATAATAATTGCTAACTTTCATGGCGAGCCGACCATGTTCAGATATTGTTTCAGCCACTTTACATATATCAGCTTATTTTATCCTCACAACACCTCTATGAATGAGGTTTATGATTCCCTCCTTTTCACAAATATGGAAACTGGGACTGAGAGTTTATACAATGTAATTAGCTACTGAGGACTTTGTAGGTCAATATTCAAATCTAGGCACGCTGGCCTCGGGGACTCTGTCTATGCTGTGATAGTGTTCACTGAGTGTTCATTACTTGCCTACCACTGTTCTAAGTCCTGTACATGTATTTACTTATTTAATTCTCAGAAAAATCTATGAGGTTAGTACTATATTCTTCCCATTCTTCAAATGAGGAAGCTGAGGAAAAGGCTAGTGAAGTGACTTATCTGAGGATGCCTAGCAAATAAACACTGGAGCAAGAGTTCAAACTCACATCTTACTCTGGAGCCTACACTCTTAAACACTAGGCTACTTCATTCATGCCATGCAAATGGCTTTACATCAGGAGTAGGCAAACAAGGGCCCAAAAGTCAAATCTGGCCCACCACCTGGTTTTGTAAATAAAGTTTTATTGGAACACAGCCTTACTTTTTCATTTATGTTTTGTTTATTGCTGCTTTCATTCTACAATGGCAGAGTCGAGTAGTTATGGCAGAGACCATATGGTTCATAAGCCTAAAACATTTACTGTCTGGCCCTTTATAGAAAAAGTTGTCCAACTTCTGCTTTAGATCTTTCTCAATCATCTTTCATTCATCCCCCACCACTCTGAACCTAGTCAGTGCCCAATTTCCAGAAAATAACAAGTGACAGTAATTAAAGCCTTTCAAACATCATTAGAAAAGTGACCAAAGAAAAAAATCAGTTCCACAGAAACTTCAAGGTGCATTTCAATAAATCCTTTAGACAGAAATAAGACAACATTAGGGTTGGTTTCTGCCCCTGTTGTCGTTAAAAAAAAAAAGAAAGAAAGAAAAGGCAGTTGAGGTTCTGAGCTCACTCTTCTGAGAGACATGGCTTCTGTAGACAGTCTGCTCATATTCATGTCCTCACTCTGCCACTTCCTGGCTTCATGATCTTGAGCAGATCACTTAACCTGTATGTGTGCCATTTCCTGATCTGCAAGATGGAATTAATTGTAGACCTAACTCCTAGGGGCATTGTGACCATTAAATGAGTTAGTGTTTGTAATTTTGTTATCAGGAACTGACTCCTATAGAGTGTTCATTATTTCTCCTGTTGTTCAACTTCTTCAAAAGACTGATTGAGAGATAAGCAGAATGATAAAAATTGAATATACTGGGGAAATTCTCAATGAATTAAAAGCCAATGGAACCAATGCTTACTAAATATCCTTCTACGTTTTTCTTTACAAAGTGCGATATGAAAATAGGTGAATAAAAACTCAGTGCCCTCTGACAGCTTGAAGTACAAGTCTCATAATAGTAGCACAAGAGAATAAGATATTTAATAAAGATCTTATTAAGTGCAACATATAATACGTCAGCACAGAAGCCTAATGCAGACAGGACTGTTAGAGAATGCTACTCACCTGATTTCCCCTACAGCACCAGAGCATTTTAGTTTTAAATGGTAGGGTCCACTAAAGCCTTTAAGACATTCACATGTCAAGTGTACCCAGTTCTGATATATACACTGACAGTTCCTAGATGTGTTCTTTAACTCAGTGTTAATAGTAACTAAATGACTTAACCATTCATGGGAAATGATAATATCACCAATTTCTGTAATAAGAATTGTTGATGTTTAAAATACAAACATATAAATAATAAACTATGAAAGACTAATACTAAGTAGAAGTCGCTAAAATCATGAACCCCCAAATCATGAGACTATCCTAAGTTCAAAGTCAGCCTCCATCCATTACTAAATGTGAACTTGAACAACTTATATAATATCTCAACCTCTGTTTACTTAGTCATAAAATAACGAAACTTACAGCACCAACGTCCGTCACTCAGTCAGATACTTGACAAGCATTTATGGAATAACTGCTACGCATGTGCCAGCCACTGTTGGGCCTGAGTATACAGCAAGTACACAACAAACAAACAGGCTTAACCCACTGCCCTCCTGAGCTTTTATTCCACATGTGATAAGTAAACACTTAGTACAAATTCTGGTGCATATTCAGTTTTCAAACAGTGCTAGATATCGTTACTGTTAACTGAAGAGGAAGAGGAGGAAGATTTCAGACACCAGTGCCCCACTGTGGAGTTGGTAATAACACTGAACTTAAGTATCTTGGAAATATTTCTGGTCTGTGGCCCTTAACTTGGGTTCCCAATCTTGATCTTCCACACAGAGTGATCTGAGTTGTGATTTGCCAGTCTTGATTGGGGGTCTTTATTACTAGGACCCACTCTTTGCTGATATACTTATTCAGTGACTAATTCAATAACAAGTATTGATTGATTGTTATGAAAACATTCTCATCTATATATGCTGGGTATATTTCTGTTCACTTAAAGACCATTTCATTGATGGGAATTCCTGGGTGGCTTGGTTGGTTACGTGATTGACTCTTGGTTTTGGCTCAGGTCATGATCTCAGGGTCCTGGGATCTAGCCCTGTGTTAGGCTCTGTGTTCAGCATGGAGTCTGCTTCCCCTTTCCCTCTCCATCTGCCCCTCCCTCCGCTTATGTACTCTCTCTCTCTCTCTCTCATATACATAAATATATATTTTTAAAAAGACCATTTCATGGATGAGGTAAAAAAATTCCATTAAAAGATGGAATATCTGTGCTTGATCAAAATTTGTCCAGAATGATTAGAAGAAAACTAATTTGTATATGAGATTAAAAAAAAAAAAAAAAAGAATCATTGTTAGAAAAGGTTTATATGAGCAAAGAAACCAGAGACTGTGATGAGTAAGATCAGACCTTACAAAGTGAAAGTAAACGTTACAGGTGGTTTGGAGGAGGCCCCAAATAGAAGGGATCAGAAGGAGTCTGGAAAAACACTTTCGAAACTGAAAAACACTCAAAACTGATTAACTACCAATGAGGTTGTGTTTATATTTTTTCCTTAACTTCTACAAATAACTCCCCTCACAAAAGTCATTTTAGAAACTTATCTTTCAAAGTCCGTAAAGACATCAATGATTTTACTTATCTTACTTAAAGAGGGTAATTTATCATATAGTCAAGTGTGCACGTGTCTGCCAGGAAAGCTTCGAGTCAACATATATCATACTCAGTAGCTTCAAGGATTTGGTTTGCCTTCTTATGTGTGTTTGAATATAGAATTCATTTCAATCTGACATTTTTTACCTCTCATCATATTTTTCTTCTAATTAAGTTCTATAAATGTATCCTGAACCACATTTGAGCTGTAATAAATTCCTTTCCTGAATTGGCCTTCTGAAGGTCACAAACCAACATTGTGATGAATTGCAAAATGACTAATTTCCCTTTTGTGTTTATTTTGAGCAGCGGAATGCTAGGGAAAAATGAGGCAGTATTTCACTAGAAAGAAGGTCCTGCTTGTAGTGATTACATGCCTGTAAATTGAGTATTTCCAACAGTGACTGACCCCAGCAGATTTCCAAAACTGTAGAGGTCTAATGCAAGGACATAATTTTACAGCCCTAAATTTTGGGATTTAATGGTATTACTGGAAGGGATCTATAATGAGGAAAGTTTTGCTCTCATGTAAGCCCTGGAGTTAACGATGTAGGTGTGGACTGAGGAGACCATGATGTCATTGGGAAATTGATTTCCTAAATTCTGTATTGCAGAAGAAAGGAACAAGGCCATTCATAGAATGGACAGCAGGAAAAATGTGTAATTTTTATTTTTTAAGTCATTATTTGTTTTACTTCACTATATAGGCAAGTAAATGCATTATGTCTTTGATATGAGATGGCTATGTTGAAATTGAACAATTTGTTGGTAATATATAGGTTGGTATTTTAATAGGTGCTTAACATTGGGCACATTTGTTTCTAATACATTGTAAAACATAGATGAAACTCTATATAAATAAGATTAAAGCATTGCCATAGATAAAATATCAGGCATTAACCTTGTAGACTCTTGATTTTAGAATGGTTTAACTCCAATATTGAAATAGCCACAATGATCATAGCCCAGTTCAAATAACACTGCTTAATGTGTTAATCATTAATTTTACATACTTCTTTCTCATTTCCCTCTATGCCTTTATAGAGTGGGAATTGCCCTGTGCATCCTGAATTCATTACCGTAATTTGTGTACTGTGCATTGACTGAAGCCAATTTAAGTGGTGTATTAGCTTAGAATTTGAGCTTCTTCACTTTGTGTAGATAGTGGGCCATGGAGTTAATGTTTCATTTATAGTATTTGTTATGGAGCTATGATAATGTGGTTATGATTCATGATCTTTTCCTGGATAATGCCTGATTTAAGATACACTGTAGTCTGGAAAGAATCTCGATTTTCTATAATAAGCATGGCTACTGGTCCAAATATCCTAACACCAAATTATCATTGACATAAATTTTCCTCTGTAAAAAGAAAATCAGAATTATTGTTTTCAAGTCAGGATTAAGATATTCACCTAAACCAATCATCTTATTTTGCAAATGAGGAATCTGAGATCCAGTGACGTTTGTTGGATTGATGGTGATCAGAAACCTGTAAGCATTAGAGCTATAGCCAGGACATAGAACTTGGCTCTTCTGATTCCCGAGCCAACACTGCGAGCGGTCCTGCCTTGCTGAGACGAGATAACCACTATCATTTCATTTATTCAAAATGTGGAACCATTTGCTCTTATCTCCCCATAACACTCTTTTCTTGTCTCTCCCTCTGCAGCATCATCATGCACCCCCACAAAGACATCCTAGTCACCTGTGGGGAGGACCGCCTCTGGAAGTTGGTGGGCCTCCCCAAAGGCAACGTGCTTCTCACAGGATTTGGCCACACCGACTGGCTTTCCAACTGCTGCTTCCATCCCAGGTCAGTACGCACAACTCCCTGAACCTACCTACTCTTTCTAGGAATACACTTATTTACTCTTTTTTGTCACTCTACTGGCTTTTTTTTTTTTAACCACTTTATTGAAGTATGAATGACATACAAAAAATTGTGCAAAGTTAATGCATGAAACTTGGTAAGTTTGAAGATAAGTATACATCCTTAAACCACCGCTACAATCTATGCCATAAACATACCTATCATCCCCAAAAGTTTCCTCCCACCCACATTATTATTATTATTTATTATAAAATACTTAATATAACAACTACCCTCTTAGAAATTTTTAAGTATACAATACAATATTATTGACTGTATGTTATATAATAGATCTCTAGGACTTAGTCATCTTGTATAATACTTTGCTGGCTTTGATGACACTTTTCTCTCTGGAACCCCAAACCCTCCACTGAATTTGGAGACATGTATATAAATGCTTTTTTTGGCTTTCATTATATTGACTTTAGATTGACTGCTTTTGATATTTGGAACATTTGGAACACATTTAACAAAAGTAGTAAGTATCCCAGGACAAGCACTATTAATGTTCCTTGCACACACAAACTCTGTCAAGGCCCATGGATTTCTAGTCAAGAATACATGCCAGTGTTTTCTTTGCTTCTGTTAATCTTGCAGGTTTTCCTCTTAGAATTAAGTTATCTACCAAAAAGAATCAGAAGGCCGTGATCAATTTCTTTAAAAAATTTAATGACACTCAAGATATTAAAGAGAACAAAGCAAAAGTAAAAGCATCGAACCCTGTAATTGCAGAATTCACTATATTTTGGTACCCAGAGGCCAAGGGCACAGAAGTAAAGACATTGTTAAACACATAGATAATGTTACTTCTAGTGGCAGAAAGCTCTGCCCACACTTGTTCCTGGGGGCAACTCCTACCCCCAATCCTGATTGTATTCTCTTGTTCATCGTTACATTTAACATTTGTAAATGCTCTTGCATCTGGCTCTAACACTCTCTGATGTAGGTACTCTTGGAGACTCAGTTCTTGGTACAATTTCTAAATCATTCCATTGGGAAATTTTGTTCTTAGGAGGACTCTATTGATTTATTTTCATGTTTTCCCAAAATTCCCTTTCTTTTTAAACTATCTTTGTCTTATCAAATGCCAGTGAAATTAGATTGAAATAAAAATAAACTAAATTGTTCAGAAATTTGTGAGTTACTGAGAAAAGTGAGCTGATTTATTTTAATTTTTGAAATGTTCCTCAAAGTGTAATTTATTTTTGGTACTAGGTGTGTGAACCTAATTTTTAAACATTTCATATCTGGTATATAGATAAACAGATTCACACCACTCCTCACCCCTTAGGAACATAAAGCCCGTCTTGCTAGCAGAGACAACGCAATTAGTAGTATAGTCTATCACTTTTGTAGCTGCTGGGCATGCTAACCAGATTTCCATAATACCCTGTTACCATGGCAGCCAGTGATTCAGAGATTTTCTCATTAGTGCTTGACCAGCACAAGGTCCTTTTAATAGATCTTCCTGTTTTCCCACTCAATTACTGAAATTAAAATGAGGTGAAATACATCATTATTCACTCATAATATGAATTTACACTCAGTACTTTCTTTGGCAGAATTGTAGTAAAATGCAGCTACACTATTTTTTTTTTTTTCCTAGTGCATAGGGTAAAAATAATGAGAAACAAATACATTTAACCTTAAATGTTTTTAAGTGAGAGAGAGTGAATAGCAAATGTTCTTTTTGTAGAATTAATGAAAAATAATAAGTGATTATTAGAAACAACAAGAAAACAATCTCTTTTATATTTGGGATAGAAATCAATTCATAAAAAGTTTGTATTTGAAGGCTCAAAAAATTTTATAATGCGAATCAACACTGAAGGCCATATGCACATAATATATGTATAATATATGTATATATAGTATATATACATATATAATGTATATGTTTTAAAATTTGTTGAAATTTATACCTTTTGAAATTCAGATTTGTGACATTTGATTTTTATTATGGTTTGGGTAATTTGATCAGTAAAAAAATAGTTTATTGTTGAAGGTAATATTTTTTCTATTTCTCTATATACCCATCTATAATTAAAAAAAATAAGCACAAAATAAATTTGATTCAAATAGGGTACTTCAATATTTAGTTGGATCTTTGACTAGTGAATGCAATTATAGTCTTTCTCAGAGCCCATCTGTGTGATCAGCTTGATTCTGCTCCCTTGGAAGAGGCTCAGAGTGGACACACTATATACTGACACATACCTGATCCCTGTGCTCTTCACATAGGATAAGAAACTTGTACATTTTCTTTATTTAATTTTTAATTGTAGTTCCTAGCTGCAACTAGGAACTGTAACTTATGTAACTTCCAATTGGATGTCTTCCTGATTACTAAGACATTCAGTGCAGTGTCTCTTCTTCCACAGTGACATAACCCAAATTTCTTTTGGGGGTCAATCCTATGTGATATGACAGTGGTATACCCTGACTTACCCAAATTAGCCTTTGTTGTCCTATTTCTTTTGCCATAGTAGACCTCTTCAATGCATAAACAATAAAAACAACAGTCATAGTAATATTAATATCAGGCAAAGAAGGATTGACAGATGAAAAAATAAAATGAGAAGATGACTTCTCACTTGAGGATTTGGATAATACAAGGTGGAAATATATAAAACAAAAGATCTGGTAAATATAGGAAGATTCTGACAAAACTATAGTCATCAGAGTCAAATATTATCTCAGTTTTTAATCTGTCAAGTAAACAAAATTACAATGAAACTAGAGGAAGTACTAAACCAGTAAGTGTATTTAGTAGTATATATTGAACTTTTTACTTTATGAAGAGAAAATATAGATTCTTTGAAATCATTTATTGTTGGTTTTTTTTAAACATATAAATCTTACACCAAAAATTTAGTGTAAATAAGTCCTTCAGAATAGAAATTATACAATCTGTAATTTGTAAACAAGATTTAATAATAAAAGAAAATCAATAACTAAAATAAAATAAAACCTTCATTATTAAAAAGTAAATAAATGAATATTGAGTCACAGAGGGACTGTGAACTGTTACTACCTAGTTGGTAAACAGTCACTACCACAATACTTACCAAATGTATGAGATGTAACCAAAGCTGTAGTCAGAGTAAAATTCATAGCTTTCAATGCTTTAGTATTGAACACACACCAAAAAAAAAAAAAAAAAAAGAAAAGAAATGAATTATATATTCAAATTAAAAAATACTACTGGTCAACAAAATGTAGAAAAGCAAAAGAATGAATAAATGAAAATAGAAATTAAATTAGAATAAAAAGTGTGAATATGTATTAATCTAAAAGATTTTTTGAGAAAAAATGGTAAAATAAGAAACTATAATAATATAAGTAGATACCTCAAAAAAACTACTGGAAAAATAAAAGTGAGGAAACAGAAATATAAACCTTAGTGATTTGGGAGGAGTTAAAGCCACAGAGATAAAATATAGGTACATTTTGTATATGTGTATATATACATGTTTGGAACTTTTGATAAAATAATAATTTCTATAAAAGTAAACATTACCAACACTGAATCAATGGAATGTAAACCGAGAATAGATTAATAACAATGGAAAAAAAAAAAAAGAACAGTTCTGGAAGTTCTACCTTGCATTCCCATGTTGAGAGTTCTATTTGTTGAGTTTTTAAAACTTTATTTTTTAAAAAATCAATTAATTTTAAGGTTCAAGAAATTCTTTGTAGACAAGGAAAATAAGGAAATTTTATTGGTTTTTAAAATATAGCAAATACATAACTCTAAACTGAACAAATGCAGTCCCCCCATAACTATAGGCCCATTTCACAATTATAGATGCAAAACTTTTAAAGAAAAAGTAGAAAATGGAATTCAGTCATATGTTTAAAAAAAGCAATATATAATGACCAAATAAGATTTATATTTGAAAAGTGTGGAAAACATAAGTGATTCAACTCGGGACATTTTAGTACAAGTCATAATAGTAGATAAATATTGAAAAGTACTTTAAAACGGTTGGATAAAAATCTAGCATCTGTACTTAAGGCACACATGTTTGCAAATAATGTTAAGCCTCATGTGTTGGAATTGGCAAGGAGAATAGATTTTGGAACAGCTGGGAAACTAAGAAAATCTGGTGGGTGAATGTAAAATCTGGATGCCATGGTGTTAGATCAAAAGAGGAATGGGTGCTTACAGGTAATAGGGCAAAGTGGGGAACATAAAACCAAACAGTCAAAAATACCTAAAATACCTAAAATCAACATAGGAGCAAGTCCTGTCCAGGCTCTCACGTATCTGTGCAAGCTTAGTTACTTGTTGGTGTTTATTCTCAATAAATGTTAGCCACATATTTTTCTTTCCTTTAATGATAATGATTATTTTTTATTAAAACAGTTTGAACACTGGCATTTTCTAACATATTTGTAACTCACAAAAGAAAATGTATATGGAAAACTTTTAATTATAAGCATTGGACCAATATTATACAGACTATATAACTGATGGCATTTAAAAACTTTTGTCACAAAGGGCCAGTCTCCCAAAGGCTGTATTGTTTCAAAATAATACTATACACACACTGATCATTACCATCAGTTGTTTACAGTAGAATTGATTTTGTTTGCATCTAAGTTTCTTAGTTCCTTAGCAGGATTTGTGTATCAAGACAATTTTTAGGAATGACATGGGTAACTAATCACTGGAGAACTGGCTATTATTACATATTTACCACCAGATGGCAATCATACATTGGTAAGGTAAAGCACCCTTTGCATTTACAGGGTAGACTAAGGAACTAGCTGTGAAAGAGATTCATCAGCTACTGAAAATGGTGAATGAGTGGAGCAATGCAGAGGATGTGCATTGGCATTGCCTTTGCACTGTTGAAAGAGTGAAATGTACAATGCCACAAAGTAGAAACTAAGCATACTTTAGTGCAGGGTAGACGTCCGACTCTAAATCACTGACA